ACCGAGTCCGAATGGCAGGAGGAGATATTTGGCGTGGTTGTGGTGGAAGAGATAGAGCGGGATGAATTTGCGGATTTGGGTGGTGGGTGGATGGGGTCCCTTGAAGACCCTTCTAGAGTAGCGACCCTGTCCTTGAGCCCCGTCCCGATGTCGTGTTGTAGATTTGGCATGGACTGACAGACGCCTGTCGTCTCCTCGATGCGACAGGGCGTACTTCCAGGCCCCGACGTCTGGCCAGACAAGCGTCCAGCAAAACTGGCCTGCACCGGAGACAGGAGGCCCAAGTTAAAGGGAAAAAATCCCGAGGCCACAGCCACTGCGGCGGCAGCGGCAGCCGCATTCGCAGGAGTCGTCGCCCCTCCTGGAGCCCCGGTAACTGGGGCAAGATTGCTGCCACCCGATCCAGGCAAGAGACGAGCAAAGCCGGGACAAAAGTCCGTCGGATCTGTAGACAATCCACTTCCGCCATTGTTGCCGCTGGAACCGACTATTCCCGATACAGGAAGAATCGCCGAGCATGGCTGAAGAGAGGAAGAAAAAGGGGGACAAAACGACATGTTTGCTGCGCCTGGGCAAGGTAATGTTTCGAGGGCAGTCATATTATCTACGAGGCGTTGGATTCTGGCTTCCTCGTAGCACATCAACATCTGATTTCCGGATTCTTGTGCCCTGGATACCTCGAGACCGTCGATTCTAGTTCGAGAGTTGCCTCCACTCCTAACCTGCTCCAGCTGCATAAATGCCTCTTCATCCTCTCTATCCACTTGGACATCCTCATGAGATTTCTCTGGTCGCCAGCCACTGCTCTCCTCAACCTCTGGTTTCAATCTTTCACGTGTCTCCTGTTCGTCCTCCATCTCCTCTCCAGCCTCAATACATTTGCCTTCCGCCTCTTCATCCATTTCTATTTCATCATCTTCTTCTTCTTCTTCCCCCTCTTCATCTTCTTCCTCTTCCTCAAAATCTGACCCACCCGTTATTCGTGAGTGAAGCCCGCTGTAGCCACCTGCGCTTGTTTGAGATTGGCATTCGGAGAAGGTGTTCTGCCCTTGGTTTATGTGTTGCTGTTTTTGGTGCTGTAAATGGTGGTG